AACTTAGAAAAAAAGGGTATACAGATGAATGTCCATTTTGTATCTGTGTATTCAAAGTGGTTAGGATAGATATATAGTTGCATTCTCTTCATGAATAGAATGATTTGTTCTAATGGTGTTTGTAAATAGGATTACAAGTCCGCATCTTGTACAGCAATTAACCACTAAGAAGAATATATGCAGTGTATTAATTGTTGAAACTGTACTTCTGATTTGATTTGAAGCTGCCTCATTGCTATCTGTTTATCAATAAAACTTTGAAAAATAAAAAAATAAAGAACATGAATAAATGCTTTCTGGATCCTAAGAAATGGTGCCAGCTACTGTAGCACGAAAAGTCTCCACAGCACTGATTCGAGCATAGGCAGGTAAGGATTCTTTCTTGCTCTTTCTTTGTTCTACAAGGTAAATCACAATACCTCACACAGACCTACGAGTTTTGTTGTAAATATAAAGAAATGTTTACATTTTATCGAATGGTTCAGATAGAAGCCCAGCGAAATTTTCCCAAAGACCTGGTGCAGCGCAGAGCGGTGAGGAGGAACCTTTTAGAGCTTTCTGTGATAACGGCCGCCTGTGGCACATTCGCCATAGGTTCTCCACCACTACCCTTGAGGAAGCTCCAGAGAAGCGCTTGTGCCCACAGAAAGGAGTCACTTCTCCCATCTCAGCTCTGTGCTGCCTGTCTCACTCCTCAGTTTAGGATCTGATCAGAGTAGACAGATGCTTTTTACTCAAATGCCCTGAAATCTTCAATAATAAGCCCTCAATAAATGTTAAATGTCATTTTTCCCAAAACTTTTAGAATGCATTTTATTTTTCATGTTCTTTTCTTTCCATTCCCCATAGTCGCCTCTTATCTTTGTAAACTTTTCTCTTAGCCTTGAGAGATTCCTGGTTTTCTCTTTTTCTTTTTTCTTTTCCATCTTTTTTTTTTCTTTTCACTTTTTATCATGATTCCAGAGACCTGGACAATCTGGTATATGTATATGTGTGCACAAGGGTGTGCACACACTCACTGCCACTTTCTTCTTAACATCCTTTCGTAATCAGACTGAATGAAAATCCACTACTTCCAAGCTGTTAGCAGCACCATCTTTGAGGCTGATGGTCTGAACTTGGATGCCAACTTAAGATGACTTTCACAGGAAGAGCACGATTTCATGGGTTAAGAGACCAGATCTGAGTGTGAAGGGAGCTCTCTGAAGGTTGTGATCCAGAATGTCAAAGGGTTTTGGGGCTGAAGGAATTCAATATAGTAAAATTGGAAGCTAACAAAATGTTCAGTAGTAGAACAATGTTAGCATGAATGAAACCAAGGGATAGAACAGCATCGGACACTTTACTGTTAGGCTTTGGGGACCAAAAAGACATAGATTAGAGCTTGTATGGAATAAAATAGGAGTCCAGGATACAGTTTATAACTGTAAAATTAGGCATCTGAACAAAAGATGGAAATAAATAATGGATACGAGTTAACATGTTAGAGTAACTGCGCTATAATATTGCTTTTTTGCAAACTTATTAGGGTATCGTTATGTTATTTTTATTATATCCAAAGGAGGCATAGCCTGCCTTTCCCAGCAGCTGTGGCATAGGAAGGGACTTCCCATGGCACCCTTTCTCTTTTTGCCTTAATTTTCTGTTTCTTACTGTATGCGCTTTAGACATTTGAAACAGCTTTCTGGGAATGGGACAGAAGAACTTGCACTGTGAACAGGTTTTTGGGAGATTCTTATGCATATTACAGTTTTGAGAAAAAATTGCTTTGTTTTTCTACCAAAATAATTAAACTACACTGGGATTTCTGTGATCTGTTTTTCTTGAAGCAAAACCAATCTACTAAAATTTTGTTTAGTGTGTATGTATGTGTTTTAAGAATTCAGTGAACACAGTTTTATTCATCTTCAAAGATATTATGTCTGTCTGTCTGTCAGGGTTTATCATCAGAAAGTCATATATTCTTTTCTATCTTAACAGGAGAATTTTATATTTTTTTCTTTGTTTTATGCAGAAACAAATTTTAAAACTCAAGATGTTTTGTTTAGAAACTTTCACTTTTAATTTGTTAATAGTTTTTGTTAAAATAATACCTTATAAACCAGTTGTCCAGTCATAAAATTCTTATTTTGTTTCTCTCCACTTTGAGCCCTGCTGTGTTCAGGGCAGATTGACTTTTGGGGACACATTTATCTTGCTCCTTCAATCACAGTGAGAGAGAAGGCACAGGACACCTGGGCCCTGAGACTGAATAAATTGTTTCAGTTTGCCTTCATTCTCTGTTTTTTTTTTCAAAATTTTATTGATAAATAACTTGATCATTCTTATTCTAGCACTTAAAAGTTAGCAAAGGAGGCATTAAAAAATGAGACAAGGGGCTGGTGTCTACTTTTACGGTAAATTTGATAATTTTGTATACCTAGGGGCCTTTGAAGTCACCCACAGTGATACAGGATGAGGATTACATGTCCCAAGTATATGGAAAAGCAGTTTATCAGGGCCATCGCAGCACGCTGAAGAGAGGCCCATATCTCAGGTTTAATTCCACAGCTCTTAAGTCCAAACCACAAAGACCAAAAGTAATAGAGCAAGTTAAAGGTAAAGAACCTAACTTTCTATGTCTCACCTCATTTTAAAATGCTATTGGTTTAATACATTAAGTAAAACTAAGTAGTTTCCTTTTATTTGGTATCCATTTATATATGTATGATGTATAAATACAGTTTGAACTGTAATACTTAAGATTGGAAAAATAATTTTTTCTAGGAGAAGTACAAAAATAGACTAAAAATTGAGGCACAAGGGTAAGAGTAAGCAGGAAGAATCTTAGGATTAGATTATATCTTCAGATAAAGCACAGTAGTTTTGTTTGGGTAATGAGTCTTGCCCCATCTAAATTAGAATCAAAGAAAATGTCAACTGTAGTCCATCTTGTCCCCACGAAGAGGAAGCTCAGCCCTGTGCTGTCTGTTACTTTGAAGGGCTGGTGGGCACCTGTGCATGTGAGCTTTTTCTTTTTCTTTTTTTCTTTTTTTTTTTTTACCTTGTTTGAAACTACTCCCATGCTGTATATCAGACTCTAAGGCTGTGAGGCCGGCTTCAACATGTCTTTTTCTCCTTTACGACCACCAAGACCAGTGTTCAGATCTGATGGGAAAGGGAGTGGAGGGTACATTCGAGCTTTAGGTAGCAAAGGTGTACATTTTTTGTTGTTGCTTTTGCACTCTATTTATTTTTTTTTAAAGAGTAGCAAAATTATTGGAGAAAAGGAGTGGGGGGAGTAGGAATGGGAGAGGGGGGAACAGAAATAGTTCTTTAGATAGGAGGGGTCCTGAATGGGTTGCCAGTCTTGTAACCAATTTAAAATGTCCTCATCTATCACCTGGTGTTTTGACTCCCGTTTACTATTTCAATGATATGTTTAATGTAAATTAATTAAATATTGAGTCTTTATTTTGGTTGCCTTTTGACATTGCTCAGCTTGTACTTCAGCAGTCACTAAGTTGCTCTGACAGTATGTAACATTAACTAGTCACTACCCAGTTTCTTCTCTGATACTTTCTAGAGCTTGGAGCTGTGCAGGTGTTTCAGTTTTTTCCTTTCCAAAACTTACGTAATCGTAGACAGTAATACAGTTAAGGTGTCAGGTTATCTATAATATTCTGTGCTATTACTTAATAAAACATATGGTTTATGGATGATATTTACCCCAGTGGATGATACTGATTCTAGTGTTTCTGTGATTATTGTAGGCACTAAAGTCAAATCAATACGGACACAAACTGACTTTCATGCAACAAAACCTACAAAGATAGACTCTAAAACGCAGCTTCCCACTAGTGCCCTGCCTCACGGTGAGCAGCACTATCTGTTCAGCCCAAGCAGAGAAATGCCTACGTTTTCAGGTACTCTGGAAGGTCACCTAATTCCTATGGCAATTCTTTTAGGTAAGAACTAATAAAATATGTAGGGTGAATTTTCATTTCTTATCCGCAGTAGTAAAACTTCGGGATTGGTGCTGACACACCAGCCACCTCCTTCTGTGCGTGCGGGAGGGCCTTGGCTGGCGCAGTCTCTGAGATGATGGGTTGCTGCTGTCATTTTGCCCACAGGAAATGCTCTTTGCTGTTTGGTAGTACATTGCTATAGATTAAAGGAAAATACAGT